CTCGTTAGATTCGCAAAGAAAGTTGTAATGTGACTTCTGATAAATCATTTATGTTCTTTGAGAACAACATGATCACTTTATTGTTGGAAATAATCCTACTGTTCTTGTTCTTGATTGCTATTTATATATTCCCATCCTTTCCTTGTTTTTCTTTAGAGTATAACTTCCAGTTAAGAATTTCATGTGTGTTTTGTAAGCTATTTTATATTTCAATTTATAAAGTTGTTTGTGGTCCCACGTCGGCTAGAAACAGGTCAAATTATAATATGTCTAACGATTTTATGAAATTGAGTTAGACTTAAAACTTCCTTTCTAACAAAAATCTACATAATTTTAAATTTTATGATTCTCATAAATTCGTTATATACATAAATATGAAGGAAAAAAACTTAACTATATGTATTGCAAAGTTTTCGAGGTCAAGACAACCTCCTTGAAATTATAGAGATAAAAGAAGAGAAATAATTTTTCCAGCTTCCTCTTTTCATTTATTATGCTGAAATAAATATGCGTATTGGTTGCCGATCATTGGCTGACCGCATTTGAAGGAAATAGAAACTAACAACAGGATATTCTCTTAACAGAATCTGTGATCAATTGACAAGATGCAAATAGGCCTTGTATTGGTTCAATTGCCAAGATGCAAAGCTAGGCTCCTTTAGCTAACAAAGTCTTCGAATAAAAGCTGGAAAATAATGAGGAAGAAGAATCTCATAATAGATGTTAAAAATTGCCTTCCATGAGTGTTAATTTTAGAATATAGATATAATGCAGTTCGTCAAACACACATGAGATTTCATTTTCGTGTTTAAAATGTTTTTTCTTAATAAATATCCAAATTCATTAGTTTCTGAAAGACCATGCTTGTAATTTATAAAAATAATTAGAATTTTAATTATACATCAAATCATTTTAATTTATGATAAAAAAAATAAAGGTATTCTCAACTTTCTATAAGCATTCCTATAGTCAATCCAAAGAACCAAGTTTGTACAAAGAAATGCCTCCATATCCTATTATAAAGTCAAAGTTTCTGGTTATCATGATTAAACAATGAAAAAAAAATATGTATAAACGGAGTGAAGCAATAATTTAATATAGAACATAACTTTTTTCTTATAGACTTTCTTATCAATTTTTCATAAATTTTAAAACTGAAATTTATTCTCATTAAATAAAATAATTTTCCGTTCACAAAGTCTGGATCTATCATATTTATTATGTGTTTAGACTAGATTCCATTCTTTCATAATTGATTCTAATTTCCCTTTCAAAGTCAAAGCAAAAATAACAATACTTTTTCAATTTTTTATTATGATTAAGAAATTAAAAGTAGTATTCAAATATGCATTTAATAAGACTAATTTCTTTACCATTTGAAAATCAAGGAAAGTTGTGTTCTCTAATATGGTTCACTAACAGAAATTGATTTCAAGAATATAAATTTAATCTAGATACATTATTCTTTGGGTAGATACATTATTCTTTGGGTAAATGTAACATTTTGACTAAAATTAATTATATGAAACTGATGAGTACCTTTTAATGAAATTTTGAATGATAATTATTAACCTTTTACAACTTGATTTCACACCATTGGCAACACTTTTTAAAATGGATACCATTTTCCATAAGTGGAAAAATAAAAAAAGTTGGAACTGAAATTCTTTGTTTGGCAAGAGTTGTAAACAGCTTTGTTAAACGTGTTTTTCAGAAAAAATTGCATAAAAAATTCATGGGTTCAACCAACATTAAATGATCTGTCAATTTTAAATATAAATAACAAGTTGTTATCACGTAGTGCAAAAGTCCAACAAAAATGTGATAAAAATTGAAATGTGATGATGTATGCGTTAATATTGTATTTAACATTTATGAATAAAAGATTAAAACTACATTGTATTTAACATCTTCTCTGTCTTGCAGTATTAGTTTCTCTTTCTAACTATTGATCACCTCTCATTAATTCCCTTCCATGGTAACGCCTCCTCATCAAACAAACTACCACGGAAGTACGATGTGCTCATCAACTTCACTGGAGAAGACATCAACAGAAAATTTGTTTCTCATCTCAATTATGCCCTCTCTACTATTGGTCTCACCACTTTCCTTCACTACAACAATGCAGTGAAGTCATCTCACATCCAAGAACCTATTCTCAGCCACTGTCGAGTAGCCATTGTTGTTTTCACCCAAACCTATTCTCAATCTGCTTGGTGTGTTCATCAGCTTCAACAAATCATCAAATGGCACCAAACTTATTGCCGACATGTTCTGCCCGTATATTATGAAATCCATCCATCTGATGTACGTCTTCAAAAGGGTTACTTTGGAAAAGCCTTGAAGGCAACTGCTGAACAAACATTTTCAGGACAAGAACTGGAGGATGGAATGTCCAGGTGGAGCCATGCACTCACCAAAGCTGCAAATTTCTTTGGATGGGCTGAGAGCAATCACTGGTACATCACTCACTCAATCAACCATCTTTTATGCCTCGGATTTCATTTTGTTAACACATGACTTCTTCTATTTTGCTCTTCAACTTGAAGGAGTGATGCTGAATTAGTGGACAAAATTGTTAAGAGCGTTGTTAATTTACCGGTCTTGTCTGCTACTGAATTTCCAGTAGAAATATTACAATCCCGCGTGGATGCTATGTTTCTAACTATCAAAAATAAATCCACTCGTGAAGTTTGTATGATAGAGATATGGGGAGACCAAGGACATGGTAAAACAACTCTTCCCAATGCGATCTACAATCAAATTCATTGTACATTCAAGGAGAAAAGTTTCATTGAAAATATTTTACAAGTTAGCGGAATAAGAGGGTATCTTCCTTTACTGGAAGAACTTTATGAATCGGGAAGAATCATTGATTGGAAAGAAAGTATGATTCGGGAAACACTTTCTGGGAAAAGGGTGCTCATTGTACTTGATGATGTGCCTTACAATTATGAACTTTTAGCACTATGGACTTATAATCATTATTGGTTCAGTGAAGGAACTGTAATAATCATTACAACAAGCGATGAAGACCTACTGATTTGCCAGCGGACAGATTCTTTATTTTGGATAGAGCGAAGGAAAGGAGAGAGGTCCCTGGTTTATAGTTGGCCATTTAGATCTTGCACACAATCATACGAAAGCCCATACAAAATCCCATACGGAAGCCCATACCAAAGCCTCGCACACATAGATCTCGACACAACATACGTACATCTCCACACTTTGTTAATCCATGACTTCTTCTATAACTGCTATTGAACATGAAGGAGTGATGCTGAACTAGTGGACAAAATTGTTAAGAGAGTTATTAATTTACCGGTCTTGTCTGCTACTAAATTTCCAGTTAGATTACAAACATACGTGGAAGATCTGATTCAAACTATCAAAAATAAATCCACTGAAGTTTGTATGATAGAGATATGTGGAGAGGAAGGATCTGGTAAAACCACTCTTGCCAAAGCCATCTACAATCAAATTCATTGGACATTCAAGGAGAAAAGTTTCATTGAAAATATTTCACAAGTTAGCGGAATAAGAGGGTATCTTCGTTTACTGGAACAACTCCTTTTAGACGTCCTAAAACAAAAGGTGGAGATTCCTAGCATTGATGTGGGAAGAAGAATGATTCGGGAAACACTTAATGGAAAAAGGGTGCTCATTGTACTTGACGATGTTTCATACTTTAGTTTACTCGACCTATGGAACTGTGGTAAATGGTTCGGCGAAGGAACTGTAATAATCGTTACATCAACATTTGAAAGAGTGCTGAAAGATCATGCTAATTCTTTCTTCTGGGTAGAGCGAATGAACGCAGAGGAGTCCCTTGAGCTTCTCAGTTGGCATGCATTTATAGAACCAAAACCAAAAGAAGAATACTATTACCTTGCAATAAGAGTAGTTAGTTATTGTGGAGGACTACCACTAGCTCTTGAAGTCGTTGGAAGTACTTTATTTGAAAAGACGAAAAAAGAATGGGACACTATATTGTCAAAATTTGCGATAGTTGGGAGGCATCGTGTTTCAGAGATAATAAAAATAAGCATTGAAGGTTCACTGAATGAAATGGAGAAAGATATATTCCTTGATATATGTTGTTTCTTTGTTGGTAAGAGCAGAGCCTACGTTAGGAAGATCCTAAACGGTTGTGGAGTAGACGCTGATATTGGAATAAGAGTTCTTATCGAGCGTAACCTCATCACAATTAACAAGAACAACAAATTTGGAATGCATCCTTTGCTACAAAAAATCGGAATACAAATTATTCAAGAAAATTTTGTAAAGGATCTTGGGAAGAACAGGCGACTGTGGTTTGATAAGGATACAAAATATGTAAGAAAAGTTCTTTACATGTGGTTTAAAACTTCTTTTGAAAGAGCTTTCTTTCTCCTCTGTGGTACATTAGTTTTTATTTGCTGTTTCAATCACAGGGGACAGAAGACATGCAGTGGATGCCTGTGAAACTGCCTTCAGTTCTCATTGCCTTAAAAAGTGTACAACCGACTGTAAATTCTCAATACCTTATTAAGAAACTAAGATGGATCAGTTTGCATGCGTTTTCTTCAGAATGTCTACCTAACAACTTTTATCAGCATGATGCAATAGCTATTGATTTAAAGCGCAGTCTTCTCCGATTTGTCTGGAAAACACCTCAGGTTTTATTACCACCCACTTCTCCGTAAAACAGAAGTTAATTAAAATAAATTACTAGCTTCCTATTATTTCATTTTTTACTTCTACTCTAATATTTCTAAATTGAAAAACTATCTTGGTGTAGGTTATGAGATCGGTGAAAGTCCTTAACCTCAGTCACTCCAAGTATTTAACCACAACCCCTGACTTTACCGGATTACCAAGTCTTGAACACCTCATTTTCAAATATTGTTCAAGATTGCGCAAACTACACCCATCAATTGGATCACTTAACAGTCTTATACTCCTAAATTTGAAAGACTGTACAAGTCTATACAATCTTCCAACAGAGATATATGACTTGAAATCTTTAAGAACCTTCATTCTCTCTGGTTGTTCCAATATTGACATAAAGGATAAAGATATAGCAAAGTTGAAATCCTTGCTAACTCTAATTGCTGAAAATACAGCTGTCAAACATGTGCCTTTTTCAATTGTAAACTCAAAAGACATTGGATATATGTCCCTACGAGGATTTGAGGGATTATCTCATAATTTTTTTCCTTCTATCATTCGGTCTTGGATGTCGCCAACAATGAATCCCATCTCTTATATTCATTCGTTTTGCGAGGATATGGAGGACAATACGATTGATATTGCACCATTGCTTAGCACCCTTTCAAATATTCGAAGTATTTTGGTAGCATGTGACACCGAATTTCAATTAACTAAGCAAGTCAAAAATATTTTGGTTGAATATTTTGCAAATATTACACAATCAGGAATTTCAAAGCAGTACTTCAGGTGTTCTTTGATTGGTGTTGGAGCATACCATCAATTCTTCAATGCTGTCAGCGAAAACATATATGAGGTTCTTCTCTAACTTTGTCTGTTTCTTACCTTCACTGTCATTATAGCTATTAATAAAGAGAACATAAAATAATCCTAATAAAATATCTGACAGAAACTACAATAATCAATTTTATCACGTTTAATTTCTATTGCCATAGAACTTCATCTAGAGGTTTCTTATTTAGGTAATCAACTAATCGTGTGATTTTTCTTTTATTTCAATACTTTCTTACTTTATTATACTGGCTTCATGATTCTTATATTTCCAGTCGTCGAAGAAATATACTTAAACCGACAAAAACATAAATGCTTTGTAAATCACTAACGAGGTAATGATGATACAATACAGAACAAAACTCTCAATCAGATTTGTTTAGATTAATTACCATTGGTATGTTTTGATTATGTACTGCATTGTTGCTTGTTTGACTATAAATGTCCACTTTGTAATTATTAATGTTAAAATAATGATTATAGAGGACAATTTGAATAGAAAAATTAGATAAATGAACAAGCGTTTTATGTTATGGTGCAGGTATTGTCAAGCAGTGAGTGTGGTGATGTTTGTCTCCCAGCTGTGAATGATCCTTATTGTTTGGCCCATATGGGTGAGGGACACTCTGTTTCTTTCGTTGTGCCTGAAGATGGTGATATGAAAGGAATGATTTTGTGTGTTGTTTATTTATCAACTCCTAAGATCATTGAACCTGAATTTACTACTGTCGTAATTGTTAATTACACAAAGTGTACATTCCATATACACAACCATGGCACAGTAATTTCCTTTAAAGATGAAGATTGGCAAGACATAATGTCAAATTTAGAATCTGGAGACAATGTGGAGATTTTTGCGAATTTCGGCAATGGATTGGCGGTCAAGAACACCGCTGTGTATCTGATATGTGGTGAATCAAAGAACATGAAAAAAACGTTTGAGGCAAAGAAACATGTCTCATTAGATTCGTAAAGAAAGTTGTAATGTTACTTCTCATAAGTCATTTATGTTCTTTGAGAACAGCATGATCACTTTAGTGATGGAAATAATCCTATTGTTCTTGTTCTTCAGTACTATTTATATATTCCCATCCTTTCCTTGTTTTTCTTTAGAGTATAGCTTACAGTTAAGAATTTCATGTTTGTTTTGTAAGCTATTTAATATTTTAATTTGTGAAATCATAGAGGATCTTAAATTCTATGATGCTCACAAATTCTCAAATACTCATATACATAATATGAAGGAAAAAAACTTAACTATGCAAAGTTTTCTTAATCAATGTTTTCCTATCCTTTACTTAATGATATAGAATTACTTGGATTAGAAGTCTCCTTCAATTAAAGTCAATGTATCTTTCGTTTACATAAGAATGTAACATTTTCCACCTTTTTACAGTGGTAATTATCATTAACTTCTACTAGTATTTTAAAAACATTTATTGAATATTGAAAATGCCTTTCTTGGAGTGGGAAGAGATTTAATTTTAATGACTCTAAAATAATCTCATAAGTTTAATACATTTATATTCTAATAATCATCATAAAATAATCTCTACATTAAAGTTGTTCTTTAAATTATATGAACCAAATATTAATTTAATATAATTTAATATTCACCAATTTGGTTTATGTGATGACTTGATGATTTAATACTAAACTTTAAGTGTGCACCATTCATTAGAATTATCATGTTATCATCGTTGTATTGACTTATCCATAATGTCCATACCTTCAACATGGCCAATAAAAAATTTAGGCGATAGTCATTTAGTTAACGGATCTGCTATCATATAATTAGTACTAACATGCTTAATCAACACTCTATGTTTCTGCACTTTTTCTTTGACCAACAAGTACTTCAAATCCATGTGTTTTGTACCCTTTGAGTACTTGTCATTTTTAGAGAAGAAGACGATTGTGNCAGGTGTTCTTTGATTGGTGTTGGAGCATACCATCAATTCTTCAATGCTGTCAGCGAAAACATATATGAGGTTCTTCTCTAACTTTGTCTGTTTCTTACCTTCACTGTCATTATAGCTATTAATAAAGAGAACATAAAATAATCCTAATAAAATATCTGACTGAAACTACAATAATCAATTTTATCACGTTTAATTTCTATTGCCATAGAACTTCATCTAGAGGTTTCTTATTTAGGTAATCAACTAATCGTGTGATTTTTCTTTTATTTCAATACTTTCTTACTTTATTATACTGGCTTCATGATTCTTATATTTCCAGTCGTCGAAGAAATATACTTAAACCGACAAAAACATAAATGCTTTGTAAATCACTAACGAGGTAATGATGATACAATACAGAACAAAACTCTCAATCAGATTTGTTTAGATTAATTACCATTGGTATGTTTTGATTATGTACTGCATTGTTGCTTGTTTGACTATAAATGTCCACTTTGTAATTATTAATGTTAAAATAATGATTATAGAGGACAATTTGAATAGAAAAATTAGATAAATGAACAAGCGTTTTATGTTATGGTGCAGGTATTGTCAAGCAGTGAGTGTGGTGATGTTTGTCTCCCAGCTGTGAATGATCCTTATTGTTTGGCCCATATGGGTGAGGGACACTCTGTTTCTTTCGTTGTGCCTGAAGATGGTGATATGAAAGGAATGATTTTGTGTGTTGTTTATTTATCAACTCCTAAGATCATTGAACCTGAATTTACTACTGTCGTAATTGTTAATTACACAAAGTGTACATTCCACATACACAACCATGGCACAGTCATTTCCTTTAAAGATGAAGATTGGCAAGACATAATGTCAAATTTAGAATCTGGAGACAATGTGGAGATTTTTGCGAATTTCGGCAATGGATTGGCGGTCAAGAACACCGCTGTGTATCTGATATGTGGTGAATCAAAGAACATGAAAAAAACGTTTGAGGCAAAGAAACATGTCTCATTAGATTCGTAAAGAAAGTTGTAATGTTACTTCTCATAAGTCATTTATGTTCTTTGAGAACAGCATGATCACTTTAGTGATGGAAATAATCCTATTGTTCTTGTTCTTCAGTACTATTTATATATTCCCATCCTTTCCTTGTTTTTCTTTAGAGTATAGCTTACAGTTAAGAATTTCATGTTTGTTTTGTAAGCTATTTAATATTTTAATTTGTGAAATCATAGAGGATCTTAAATTCTATGATGCTCACAAATTCTCAAATACTCATATACATAATATGAAGGAAAAAAACTTAACTATGCAAAGTTTTCTTAATCAATGTTTTCCTATCCTTTACTTAATGATATAGAATTACTTGGATTAGAAGTCTCCTTCAATTAAAGTCAATGTATCTTTCGTTTACATAAGAATGTAACATTTTCCACCTTTTTACAGTGGTAATTATCATTAACTTCTACTAGTATTTTAAAAACATTTATTGAATATTGAAAATGCCTTTCTTGGAGTGGGAAGAGATTTAATTTTAATGACTCTAAAATAATCTCATAAGTTTAATACATTTATATTCTAATAATCATCATAAAATAATCTCTACATTAAAGTTGTTCTTTAAATTATATGAACCAAATATTAATTTAATATAATTTAATATTCACCAATTTGGTTTATGTGATGACTTGATGATTTAATACTAAACTTTAAGTGTGCACCATTCATTAGAATTATCATGTTATCATCGTTGTATTGACTTATCCATAATGTCCATACCTTCAACATGGCCAATAAAAAATTTAGGCGATAGTCATTTAGTTAACGGATCTGCTATCATATAATTAGTACTAACATGCTTAATCAACACTCTATGTTTCTGCACTTTTTCTTTGACCAACAAGTACTTCAAATCCATGTGTTTTGTACCCTTTGAGTACTTGTCATTTTTAGAGAAGAAGACGATTGTGGAATTATCACAATAAATCTTACCAGCCTAGCAATATTGTCAATAATACCAAGTCTCAAAACAAAGTTCCACAACCACAATGCATGAACAATGGCCTCAAAGCATGCAACAAATTCAACCTCCATGGTGGAAGTACTAAATTCCAAGAAATTTCTCCCTCATCCAATAAATAAACATACCTAATTGTGGATTTTCTCGAAACCACACATCCAACATAGTCTGAATATGAGTAGCCCATCACTTCATAATTATATGACCTTGTGTAGGTGAGCATGTAGTCTTTGGTACCTTGTAAGTACCTAAGAACTTTCTTTGCAGCTTTCTAATGATCCATTCTAAGATTACTTTGATATCAACCTAACATTCCAACAACAAAACTGATATCTAGTTAAGTACAAGTTTGAGCATACATCAAACTCCCAACCATTGACACATAAGGAATGGACTTCATGGCCTTTCGTTCCAAATCGTTCTTAGGACATTCCATTTGACTAAATTTGTCCCCTTTCTGAATTGGAACTACTTTAGGAGAGCATTTTTCCATTCTAAATCACTCTAACACTTTGTTACCATAACCTTGTTTAGACAAACTTAAGAATCCATGTGATCTATTACGGAATATTTCTATTCCTATCACATAAGATGTCTCATTCATATCTTTCATTTCAAAGTTGCTAAAAAGAAACTTATTTACATCCTGTAACATACCAATATTATTAGCAATAAGAAGAATGTCGTCAAGATATAGAACCAAAATAACAACACCATCGATCTTTATGTATATACATTGGTTAAGGGTGTTCTTTACAAAACCATATGAAGTTATGGTATCATTAAATTTTAGATATCATTTGTCAGGAAGCTTGTTTCAGTCCATATATCGATTTCTTCAAAACAACAGCATAATATTAACACAGAAATTCAATATAAATAGATATACAACAAGCACATATGTTTTTCATTAACAGTATTGACACAGAATTTCAAGACATGAATAGTAATAAAACAATACTAAATCATAATATAAAAGCTTAGAAAGGTTAGCTCCCCCTACCTCTATTCCAAACTTAATCTCTTGCTTAGAATTTATTTCCCCGAAAACCCTTCAAAATCACTACTCTTCTTGCAACTAAAAATTTCTTCCTAACTCTTTCTTCTCTATTTCTCAAGATTTCTCACTTGATTCTTCCTCTCTTTGTGCAGAATAACCTCCCCTCTCATGGCTATTTATAGTCCAAAAAATTTATTATTTAACAATTTTTTTAATATTATTTATTATTTTAATATTATTTTATTATATTAATATTTTAATTACCACTTGACATATGTGATCCCTCAATAATTGACTTCAAACGTGGAGTGCTTATCCATTATTATTTTTTTTCACAAAATCTTCTAAAATAGGTTCTCAAAACTTCGAACCCTTCTTTCTGAAATTACTATAATTTTATATCAAAAATTTTAATTTTTCTACCATAATTTTCTATTTAATTATACTTTCTATCCATTAAAATTATTATTACTAATAAAATGCTAAAATTTACTACTATAGATATTTTTCATGGGTCTTACACCTGGGCGACGTCTATAGTGATTTACACGTCGGTCCGCCTACCAAGCCCACGTCTAAAGCATTTAAAAATTTATTTTGGCGGAGCCTTTTGGCGTCCAACTTTGGGGGGCCAACATCTAAGGGCTATTTAGACGTCGGGGCTGACAAGCCGAAGTATAAGGGCAATGGAATAGTCATTTTTTATCTATCTCTACAAGTCATTAGGCGTCTGATGAAGGTGGGCTGACGTCTAAATACTAATTAGACGTTAGGGTGACGGGATTAGACATCTAAATGGAGTAAAAAAAAATGACTTTTGGGATTCTGGCTGACCATTTTGGCGTCAAACAAGGGTATCTGACGTCTAAATTGCCCTTAGATGTCGAGGGCTCTCAAGTCTGACGTCTAAAGACCAATAAAAAAATAATTTCTAGCATAGTTTTAGCGTCCATGTGGGGGGAGCTGACGTGTTCATAAGTATAAATGTCGAAGTCCCCAAAGTCGACCTCTAAATAGTTATTTTATTTGCGAAAATGTCATCGGTCATTTTTTACGTTGGATATTTAGTAATCTAACGTCAAAGGGGTGAAGTTAAAAGCCTTTTTTTACACTAGTGATAGTACCTATTTGTTATTCGACTCACAACATAAAAAAGAATTGTCTACTAGCCGCGTGGATACCTGTTTATAAAATATCTGCAGATATTTTAAAATTTGTGGATACCCATGAATATTGCGAATATTTAAAAAAAATATTTTATAAATTTTTAAAATAAAATTTAAATAAAATTACAATAAATATATATATATATATATAATATAAATTAAATTTAACTTAATAAAATATAAATTAATTTTAATTTTAATTAAATTTAACTTAATAAAATATAAATTAAATTTTTATTTATATTTTTACTTTTTTTAGATAACATATCCGTGAATTTGAATAGTATAATACTGTATCAATCCATTTATAAATGAATATTAAAATATATTCGGTAGCTAAGAATATCAACTGTCCGTGTAAATTTTGTGTGAATATCATATCTATTTTTATCGTATAACTTAATTAGATAAAATATTCATTTATCGTAAACTTAAAACTTCAGGAGGTAGGACTTTATAAAAGTGGTGTTAGATTCGTTCTCATTTCACCTTTTGTAAAGTGTTTTTCAACATTTGAATAATAAAATTTTTATTTAATAGATAATATTTGTAAAATACAATATTATGTCAGTATTAATATTATTTACTTTAAAATATAACTTAATTTAAGTTATATTTTTAATATTTCTTATAATTACAATATTAATACACATTATTCACGATCGGAAACAAGAACTAACACCATACAATTAATTTCGTATCCAAAATCCAAGATGATCCTAGATAATGAACCATTTCATTAATTACTATTTGAGTCAACTAATGTTGTTGAGTAATATTATTATTATTTAAATCTACGTAATACATGAACCAACATATCACATATATAAACAAATGAAATTAGTCTGATTTTATCTTACATTTAATTAAATTAATAAATAATCATGTACGCAAACAAAAAATAAATATATCCGTCCTTAGTTGACTCCAATCCAGCGTCAATAATAATAAAAGAATCTAAATGAAAAGACCAAATAGTATACACTAACAGTAATAATAATAATAAAAAAAAAAAACATGAGTGACAAACTTAAAATAGCGACACCAACGTGAGTCTTTAATTAAAGTCACATGAATCGTCCCCTTTTGTCTGCTAACATACACCAACCAATCCACATGCAATCTGTTACCATCCTTTTCAGTAGACTTGTCCAATCACCTCGCTCCCAACTTCAATTCATATACTCTCCCATTATACGTCAAAAATGTATGAGATACGCTCATGGATGCTAAAGATATTATTCACTCCAATCATATTTCTTTTCTTTATTTAATACTTTTAGATGGTTTAAGTGGGAAAATTAATAAGAATTTAAATGTATAGTGTTTCAGTATGGATGTGGAGACCTAGATACGAACCTAGCAAACCGCAACTGCTCCTTCCTATGATGTTGTTACTATGATATCTATCTTCTGGTGTTGTGCTCTCTGAGGGGAAAAATGGGCTGGGTACCTGCAAAGGCACTCCGACGCTCAAGTCAGAAAAGGGATGTACTCAATCTTTTCAATTCAGAGCCATCTAGAAGAAGAATAATTTCTCTCTCTTAATTTCTCTTAAGGGAAAAAACGTACCTTTTTCTGGTGTGATCTTCATATTTAAAACAGTAAAATAAACCGTTTACCTGAGAATCCGGTCAGTTATCGAAGTTGGTTATCTGAAAGTTGTAACTGTTGGACCGTGTTTGACACTAGGTCAGTTATTCCCGTGATTCGTGGCATTGACTGATCTTTGTAACCGTTTACTTCTAACCGCTAAATTAGGAATTGCTCACTGATTGTCGAGTGCCTGGTGAATCGACACAGGCTTGTGAATGTTCTGTGTCGTGTGTTTTATGCCGCGACACCGGTGTTGGTTTGTCGATTACCAATGTGTCGACATCAACTAACGATTGGCGTTAAGAAGTGTTCAACACTCCTGCGATCGTGAC